TTCTGAAATATATACATGCATGTGTGTGTATTTATACATACATAATAAATATACAAATTGTACACACATTATGTAAACAAAAAACTTTTATTTTTAATTGTTTGAATTGTTTGACAGCACTAATTTAGTGTTTTTTAGTATTGTTTTTAGTTAACAATACTAATAACTAATACTGAAAAACTTTTATTTTGGATGTGATTAATTGTTTGACAGCACTAATTTAGTGTTTTTTAGTATTGTTTTTAGTTAACAATACTAATACTTAACAATACTAATACTGATCTGCACACTTCCACTTGTCGTGAAACTGTGCATGTCATGTTGCGTTTCTGGTTATTAAAGTATAACATAGCTCATAATGGTTTCTAGACCCCATATTATTAAATTGCCATGTAATGTGTTATTAGTGGCTGGAAGTGGGTTTTCTGTGGGTGCGTATGAAAGAGCAATCAAGCGGGTTTGGAAGTAGATGTGAGGTGTCGGAGATGTTTTGGGCTGTCGTTTTTCAAGGCCTGTCGTCTTACATGGCCTGCCGGCCATATCATATATTTGAAAAATATCCTCGGTCAGTTACTGCTCTGTTATTGCCATTGTAAGCAGAGAACCCATGGGTTTTATTGTTTTGTGATGAATGATCAGACATTGAGCGCTCACAGCTGGCTTTTTTAATATGACTGTTCTATGCTGATGTTGAAATGACAGGAGCTGTCATTAATAAATAAAAATAATCATTTAGATTCATTGTGTAAATATTATGGTCTTAGTAACCGATTCAAAACAACAGAGCACTGGTCGCACACCTGGTAAGCATTTGACAGATGTTATGCCTTGGCAGCGTTACACCATGAGTCAGTGCGAATAAAGAACGTCGTAAAACAAGCTGCAGCCACCTACGCTGTCCCTGTTCACATGGACTGAGAACAATATTTTGTCTCTAACTCTTTATCCATAGACGGTATTTCATAAAGCTTCATTCAGCTTTTAATAGAGTGAATCAAAGTGTCGAATTCATGTGAAGGACCAGTATATTTCATAATAGATTTTCCAATGTTAAGGTGAAAATCGTAGGTTTGTTTAATCCCACAGAGGGCTTGGGAAAGCTAACGGAGATGGTTAAGACACAAGGCGTTTTATTCTGCAAGCAAGTATTTATTTTGATTTCATTATTTACAGAATAAAATGATAGGCTACATGAAAGTTTGAGACTTCTAGTTTGTTTTAGTCTGGAAGTCAACAAGTATTACTGTTTGTTACCTGTTTTAATTCTTCAATTGGCTTTTTCACGAGGGAAACAGGATATTCAGTGCGAGTTTTGCATATCCAAATGTGAATTTGGATAAAAAAATTAATAAAAAAATTTGCTAAATAGCTATTGCTTAACATTATCCAATTGCCTGCATGGCTCAAATGACAATAATGGAAAAGGAAATTCATTTCAGAGAACGTTATTTTGATTTGATAAGTTACTATAATTTAATTATAATTTAAAGACAAACATTTGGTAACACTTTATAGTGTTAATTAATATTAAAAAATAATAAAACAGAATTTATTATTCCAAGTCTCTTCTGCTCACAAGTGTGCATTTATTTGACCAAAAATAGTCAAAACAGTAATATTGTGAAATAGATTTACAACTATTTTCTGTTTTAATATATATTTTAAAATACAGTTTATTCCTATGATGGAAAAGCTGAATTGTTAGCAGCCATTAATCCAGTTTCCAGTGTATCCCCCCCAAGGATTGTTTGTTGAATATAAAGTTCAGAAGAACAGCATTCATTTGAAATAGAAAAATTTTGCAAAATTATTTTTTTTTACATTTAAAATTATTAATTTCTTTTAATAAAATGACTGACCCCCAGATGCTAGTGTATGCTAATGTTTTTTTTTTTTTAATATTTCAAGTGGTATAATTAAAGTATAGCTACTCAAAAAAGAAAATCCTTTTCTAAACAGTTTGACTTTCTTCTGTGAAACACAATGGATTTTTTTTTCTTTGAAAAATGTCTGGTGTTTTTTGTTCATGTGGTTTTAGACTCCTGACATAGAAACAGTTCAAACCTTTTTCACAATATATTCTTTTGTGTTCCACACAAGAAAGGAAGTCATACTGGTTTGGAACGATGACAGAACTGTTCCTTTAACAATGAACAATAGTATATTTACAAATTAAAATGTTAATTTTCTTAAAATTGTTGTTCATTTTAAGATTATGATGCATTAACTAATGTTAACAGATTAAACCACATTAGAAAGTGTTACCACGATAACATAGCAATGAATTGTTCACAATACCAGGAAATGTGCATTAAGAAAGTAAATGAAGCTTAGATGATATGATCCAAAGTGCTAATAGGTGGTCATTTATAGACGTGTGGAGTCCAGACCGCTTTATCTGTCATTGAGCTGTCCTTCAAATGCATCTCACACACCATTTACACTGCAAAAATTCTGCTGTACTCATCTCATTTACATCTTTTTTTTTATAGTTTGTTAATACACGTTAGGGAACCGTTCACTTTGGTACTTCTGCATGCAGGAGAGGCAGTGTTAATGAGGAGACTATGAAGTGTCGTTCTGAAATTAACACTCTGACAGAGAATTTAAACACACATACACACACTTTCACTCGCTCTCAACATGCCTCCGAACACACACCGTCCAGACTAAATTGTCAACAAAAGTGTTGTCAGGCAGACCTATGTAAATTTGAAGTGTAATCTATATGAGAATCATCATGAAATTCAATTGCCAGTCAGTGTTGAAGGTATTCTGCATCTATTTTTCGATTCCTCTGAGAATAAAATGCATGATGAGTTGCAAGCATGAAACAGGAGAGTATTTTGACAGTTTTGTCTGAAAATTTAGATGTGATAACACAAGGTTTCTCACTATCGGTTTTCTTTAAACAGCCCAAGAGGCTTTGCTCCTCACATTTCTGCTTTTATCGTGTTGCACCAAATTCTTTTTCTTGGCTATTTGGGACACACATTCAGTTGAAAATTGGACTTTAAGGGGATGAGGTTCAGCGGGGCCTGGTTATTTGGACTTGTCCATCAAAAGGTGATTGCAATTCATTGTCGAGCGAACTCCTTTTCCTCGGGCCTGAAATGTGTGTTTCTCTCATTAAAAGAATGTCCAGCTCTGCACAAAGGAATTGTTATGTTTGGGCAACATCTGTGTCTTAAAAGGCCAAGGGGAAAAGGCCAGAGAAAATATAGGACAAACATTAAATCATAAGTACAACAATTTTTCCTTGGTAATTGAACGTTGGCTCTACTTTTCCCACAGAATTGTGGTGCATCTGTGTATGTGCATCTGTGTATGAGCGTAAGGAGAGAAAGAAAATCGCTATGTGAAGACTGTTGCTTTCAATTCGCTCTTCCTCTTGTCTGGCTTCCTCTACAGCGTTGGAAGAACATAAAAAAAATATTTTTCAAACTTTATTAATAAAAGAAGAAAAAAACAACAACATATTAGTGAAGTAAATGACAAAGGCTCGTCATATCCATAAGATATGAAGCATTACATCGCTTTGAGATAAAACACATTTAAATCGGAGGTAACACTTTATAATAAGGTTTCATTTGTTAACATTAGTTTACTACATTAGTTTTCATTTTAAATTAAAAATTGTAACTTGTTGACATTAATGCACTATGAACTAACACAAAAAAAGAACAACTGTATTTTTATTAACTAAATGCTTTAAAAACTATTGTTCATTGTTAGTTTGTGTTAGCTAATGTTAACGTATGAGAGCTTCTTCTAAAGTGTTACCAAGTAGGGAAAGGTCAGTTTCTCTCGCGGTAATATCTGCTCATCTTAATCAAAAACTTTTATGGCTTTAGTAACACCATAAACAACTCATCTAAGCGAATTATCTTGTGCTCATTGTCGTTTGCCATATGCTACTGTGTATATAAAGGTGTTGCTTATTTGTTTTACAGGGGCAAAGAATGACAAATTACCTCATAAATCATCCCTCTGTAAATAAATAATACCTGATGTGAGTTATATATGTAATGTGGTTTGTTAAACTGGACACACGAATACAGCATGTGTGCAGTACAGATCATTCAATGCTCACACAATGCTTGAGGTTCTCTGAAATACTGCAACATTCATACCATTAATTAAAAACATGAATTATTCAATTTCATGTTCAAGCCAATACAAGTCTGTGCTTTTTTTTAAATTAAGGGGCAGTAATGAGGATGAGATAAATGTCTCAGGAGACCGAGATAAATATATAATATTGGTTTGAACTCCAAAGTCAAACTGATTTGAATTCAGAAGAAGAGAAAAGAGGCAGGGTAACATTTGTGGTGGTCTTCAGTCAGTTTTGGTCTTGTCTGATTCCAGAGTGCCTAGAAAAAGAAAAAGATTATGTGGATATTATTAGGTGTGCATCAATATAGATGTTTTGGCTGATATTGATAACCGTAAATTTTATGACCTGAAATGATATGATGGATATTTTAGCAATATTACAAGAGAGCTGTTTTATTGATTCAGCTGCAAGTAATTGCAAATATGATATTTCCTTTATGCACCCTTCTTTAAACAATAATTTAATATTGAGTAATTGACATTTCAGACACTATATGGCCTTTTATTTTATTTATTGTTGTGGCATCAAAGCAGGATCTAACCAAAAGTAACTTTTATATAAGTCCATGAGTAATACTACAGCAGGCATGTAAAAACTGTATTGTGTGAACTGCAATTTGCTTTCAGAGTCATAATCATCATGAAAACCATGTTGATTTCAATTGAATGCTCATTCCCTTATTTTTACCTTTATTTACCATCATCTAACAATCACTAAAAGTTAAAATAAAATTAAAAAATTAAATCTTAAATCTTAAAAAAAAATTAATTAAATTATGTCCAGGTAAGTTTAATTTAGAAGATCCAAAAAGATCATAAAGGGATTGCTTAATTCGTAAGTTTGATTTTCGATTTTTATAAATTTTGGTTACCTTTTAATGGAGGGACAGAAACCTCTCATTAAAAATCTATTAATTTGT